AAACTCCCAACACACAAGTGGTGTCCCAAGTAACGAAAACAACCGTTGTGTAGGCAGTCAGTTCCTTGTACAATATGGGGCGAATCGGTGTAGTACTAAGGTGAGCCCCATATGACGTTAAAAACCATCTTCAGACATCGAACACCTGCCGATTGTACCAATGAAAAGCTGACGAACTCCCCCGTTGAATCTTCTGTTTGAATGGTATAGGTTGACTAGTTGAGGGCAGATAAGACATGTGCCAAAACTATGATGGAATATCAAGATGAGATCGAGAGCGTTGATGATAAATATCAGCTGTGATGATATCGACCCTCAGGATGATATCGTCTGTCTGACAATTCAAATCTGAATAGAGGGAGTGCATTGTCTCGATCTTCATAACCTGTAATGGTGATTTACTCAAAGGAGAGTATCGTAAAATGATTCATGACTGGCAGGCAGGTGGACCGGATCCCTGAAGATCCCTGTAGAGAAGAGACGTATCTCAAGCTCACTTTACGAGGTGACTATGCCTTTAAGAGAAGACCAACGAGACCTGTTGGTCAAGTTCACTGACATTGCAGGTCATCGTATCCCAAGTTTGATGCTCATGATGATAATCACTGGATTGTCAGATCTAGACAACAGAATGCAGCGAAGGCCTTGTCCGATGCACAATGGGACAGATGTCTGTTGATACCATGGAAGAAAACCGATCCTATGACTGAGGACGATCCGTCATTCTTCTGTTTTTATAACAAATGTTATATTTAGGATAACATTTTCTCAGTAAAGTACAGATGCCCGTCCGGGATTGGAACCAACACTGTCTAAAGGACCTTATTGCCAGCAAACAGTGAGTCTGTGAGTCAGTGATCTAATGCGCGACTCACACAGGTCGACACGTCTTATGATGACCTGACGATTCCCATACATTGTACAACATGTTCGGTGGTTGTAACGAATATCGACTAATCTATTTGCTACCACTCATAAGATTTATTATAAGATTTATTACAACATTTTACGCCATCTCTTTTGGAATAATCCTTGCTTGAGACATTCCACAGGGTTTCGTGATTCAAATAGTGAGCAACACATCCAACTTGCCGAATAGCTAGAACAGACTCTTTACTCTCACGACACAATCGATGTGGGTTCAAGCGGTCGATTTGTCTCTTTTGTCTAATTCGATTAATCACTCAGACGATACAACTCGGTCGAATTCGGCATATCGATTCAACGGTCCAACCCGTGTGAGTCTGCCTTAACCCACCTGCAGTTGAAGTCGTACAAGTGGATGGGTCGATGAATCGATGTGTCGATGTATTGGTCTGTATCGTTGAGTGGAGACCCCTTTGGGTATCCATCTGTAGAAGAGGCAAACTGTCGATCCTCCATGATAAAGGTGAAGTATGGTGATCTGTAGATCCCTCGATCACTCAGCCTTTTACGATCCAACCTAGGATGACGATCCTGTGAGTGAAGATCCGCCGTCAGTCGAGGATAACTTCCTCAAAGACGATTGTCCTGTTTTCGGTCATAAGGGTTTTTGCCATTAGTAGGCCAGAGAGGTGTAGCTGTATCCTCGGAACACTGCAGAAGTGATGATGACCCGAGTAACAAGCTAGTAGGGGGAAGAGGTAACCCTCAGTTGGCAGCTTCCTAAAGCTGAGTAATGGTTGTCCTGTATGATTTAATAAGATTTCATAGACTTGCAGTTATAGTCTGGAAGTTAATTTAAGGTACCGACGTCTACTACAATATCAGAAAAACTATTGGACCTACTCCAGTCAAAGTTGGTCATACATAACTGGATATTACATTTAAAGACAATCGGTGCATGAATAAAAAATCTGTCTATTTAGCTATCACTATATTTCATCAACAACCAGACCTGTTCGTCACGGATGGAACGAGCATTCATTGTAACAGCCATCTGCATAATGCTACCCCTGCATCACAGGGCCATATGACACAGTTGAACCAATCAAGTCAACTCGAAAGGTTGCATGGGAATCACGCACGCACGAATACAGTGTTAGCATTAGATTTTATGATGTCTATGCGCAAGCATCTTTCCGCTGATGCGAATGGTTTCGTTGTTAAAATATTTGAATACTTTTAGGCTGAAAGTGAAAGATGTTCACCCTTCTTTGACATTTCAAAGTACATGAAAAGAACAATTCATGCGTTACAGCTTCCCAAACAAACCGTAGTTAAGATTTTGAACTCTCATAAAAACACATGCTCCCCTGCACATCGCTTAGGGGGCATCTCAAAACAGGATAGGAAATTAAAGTTAGATTCCTTTGATAAGAAAGTTGTCAGGGACGTGATTCAGCGGTTAACACGAGAAAATGAATTTATTTCAACATGAGAACTAAAACAAATTCTCCTTACAGAGAATGACTTAGATATTTCCCAATGGACCATTTGTAAACTCCTTTCCAAATTTGGATATCAGTACAAAAAGACGAAAGAGTCGAAACTAGCAATGTGTGAACGACCAGATATCATTCGTTTGCGTATCAATTATTTGCGCACTATTAAAAAGAAACGAGAAGAAGGCTATGAGCCTGTCTATTTGGACGAAACCTGGGTTAACGCCTGCCACACAGCGGCTTACCAATGGTCTCACCCAGATACCAGAGAGCCACAGCGCAAGATCCCCCCTGGTAAAGGCCGCCTGATTGTCCTCCATGCAGGCTTCCACAGAGGTTTCCTCCCTGGGTGTGATCTAGTGTTCAGATCCAGATCTACAGATGGCAGAGACTACCATACCGAGATGAATAGTCAGGTTTTCACTGCGTATGTTGAGGAGCAGCTCCTCTTAGCACTGCCTGATAAATCCTTGGTGGTTATGGACAATGCTCCCTATCACAGTTGTCGAGATCCTATTAACCGTTGTCCAACCTCAAATTACACCAAAGGTGAGACATGTCAGTGGTTGGACAACAACCGCATTACTCGGCCCACGACAGCCAAAAAAACTGACTACTACCAACTGGTTCTTCAGAACAAACCCCCACCCTCTTATTTAATTGACAACATGTTGATAGAACACGGTCACGAAGTGTTTAGACTTCCTCCTTACCATTGTCACTTGAATCCCATCGAACTAATCTGGGGTGATTTGAAAAATATGGTCGCACGGCAAAATAAGACCTTCAAGCTTGCCGACATCAAGCAGATTGTCTTAAAAGGGATGGGAGAAATTACAGGTAGATGTACATTGGGCAAACTGTGTCCAACATGTTATCAAAGTTGAGGAAGAGTATTGGAAACAAGACTGTATCCGACCAGAAACTGTCCAGCCTGTTGTTGTTCATTTAGGTGACAGCACAGACTCCGAATCTGATGACGAGGGCATTTCGTGGGACCAAGAATAGTGTAATACATATAACCCTGTTTCACTACGACATGTAATAGCCCGAATTACCATGGATATGAATTCTTACATATTCATCCATATTCTTAATCATTTCTTAAGAATCTTAAATATATCTTATTTGATTGCCAAACATTCTTGTAGTTCGTGAGAAAAAATTTGTTTATCAAAGAATTTCTAGGAATCGTCTATGAATTTCAGGTTCGGGCTTTGTAGTACATGTCGTAATCAGATCTTGTCCACTTTGTGCAATTCTTGGCTCAAAATTTGATTCTCTTTCACCCGAAACAGCCCCGAAAGTATCAAATCATCTACGAAAATATTAAAATATTTTCTTCGAAACCATAAAGCAATGATTTGTCTGAATGAATAATTATGTATGATATATTACACCTAATAACATGATGCATGAAATATAATAATGTGGCAAGGAATGATACATTCAAGTCAATAACACTGACCTGAAAAAAAATGCAAAAATAATTGGATAAATATTATTAAATAACTGCTTGAGACGCCCAACGCTAAGACCGTATTCATGCGTGCGTGATTCCCATGCAGCCTTTCGAGTTGAGTTGATTGGTTCAACTGTGTCATATGGCCCTGTGACGCAGGGGTAGCATTATGCAGTGAGGAACAGGTCTGGTTGTTGATGAAATATAGTGATAGCTAAATAGACAGATTTTTTATTCATGCACCGATTGTCTTTAAATGTAATATCCAGTTATGTATGACTGTTTAATAATCTCATACCAACTTTGACTGGAGTAGGTTCAATAGTTTTTCAGATATTGTAGTAAACGTCGGTACCTTAAATTAACTTCCAGACTATAGTCTAGGTTAAGAGATACAGACGACAGAACAGTCCACTGGCCATTAATAGCACAGGGCATGGTCCGCACAGCAGCGGTAATTACGGCAGTCAAACGAGACGGAGGGCGATCCTCAACGGAAAGCGATGTAACCATCGTCGAATGGACTAATATCTTGTTAAGCAAGAAGACGAAGGCACAGCCCGCAGGATTAACACAACTGTTTGTGCGCCAAAGCGGAGGAAAAAGGCATTCACTAAAACCGTAAACAAATCCTTGAACCGGTGAACAGTCGTCTATACATAACACTTTGCAAAGTAAGTTAAAATTCAATTCTGACGAGGTAAAACACTGTAAACATCGTTTTTAATACCACACACTCTTCGTGGTAAATGGTAAACTTTAGAAGTGAAGTCGTGTATTTAAATTTTACATAGAAAAAACAACAACAGATTCTCTGTTCAAGTATAGCATCCAAACACCATAGCGATAGAATTGAGAATGAGGGTGCTGGATATGTCAGGTGATCAGGTCGCTTGGGTCGTGTCGCATGGGATTTTAGTGGCATGTGACCTATGATCACAGTGGTGATTTGGCGATATATGGGATGTGTTGGGGTGATTGGTGTTTTTTTATCTGGAAACTTTGGGAGTTTCCACACCAAGATCAAAGAATAAGAAATGCATAGTGTGAGATAGGATAAGTTTAAAAATATATATTTACTCAAAATCTCAAAATTCCAAAGCTGCAGAAACTTATGTCTGCAGAGTTATTATAATCTACCTATATCATTGGTAGCTAAATTCATCACTTACCTGTATGTGTTCGTTTATGCCTCTGCAGTTCATCAGAACGTGTGAATCTCTTGCCACAAAACAACCAGTTACATACAAATGGTCGTTCTCCAGTATGCCATCTGCACATAAAACAATCACATCTTAACTCCAGTTATTTGGTTGTGCACAGCTGCTTTGTTGTTTTTTCCCAAAATTTTTTATGATCCATATTTTAGCTAGATTTTAAGCAATGATAAGAAAGTCAACATGGTCAAAACACATGCTCCAGGACATCAAGTACCAATATATGTACTGATTTCCATTTTTCAAACTTTAAATATCTTGTATTTTACTTTGTTTTGGAAAATAGTTTTCCTTTCATCCTACAGAGTTCAGTAGCCAGAATGATGGACAAATGTCTCTATCCAACAACTCAACAGCTCATTGTTATCTATTACATCATAGCTATAAATCCTCTACTTAGGATGCCTCACACTATGAAATACTTAGATTTTCAAAGAAAGTTCTCTTCACTGTCAACTATCCATGACCAGTTGTACAAGTAATAGTATCTTGATGCCCATGCCACTTTGCACTCGGTGCGAAAGCTCACTTCTTTCCAAAATCAGCTATTTAGATACTGGGGAAGGTGGGTGGGATTACTGTTGATGAAATAGAGGTAGTATTCTTAGAATTACTAACAACTATTATTTTTATTAACAATTGTTATAAACAATCATTGTTCGAAAATTCCTGCAAAACAAAATCTCTATTACATCAGGAGATTGATGGATACAGACATCCAGCAAACCCTTGGATAGTTAACAGTTGTTCATTGGTACCTAATAATTTGAAAGTTCTTCAAATTGACATGAGAGTAAAATTAGGCAAACATAGTAACCAAATCACCTTAAAAGGAATAATTCATAAAGATGTCAGGGACATAAGAAAATATATAATATACTTCCACTGATACTTCCATCTACCATCATTCTTGCAACGACATCTGATGAACCTTTCAGAATGTCTTCCAGACCTGACGCCAGTGACGTCCCTTCTGGCTCTGAAGACATCACTTCCAGTGGCTGTGACCTCCAAGTGTGATTCCAGCTGCTAACCTATGATCTGGCCTACTCTAAATTTGACAATAATGATTGAAAGGTTACCTCACCTTCCCAAGCTGTCAGATTTTACAATCTGGGCAGACACTTTTGGACCCAGGGAATAACGACTAAGCAGATCAGGTTGAAAGTCATGCAAGTAGAAGTTTGTGAACGGATTGTGTTACTTCCACTGGCAACTGGAGACCACTTGTTCTATAGAGACCAAGTTTCAAAGTACTTGGCTGGTAAATAGAGTTCTAATCTTGTGTGCTGTAAATGATCCCAACACAGGAGCTGATAGTTCTGTGTGGCAGTAACTACCAGTAATTATGGTCTTTAACCCAGTTGCAGGGAGTAATCCAGCTGCTCCCTGTGCAGTTCATGATCAGATTGAATCCTGCTTTCAGCCAAGACAGAAGCTTGAGTAGAGGACTGCTGACCTGCCTCGTACTTGCAATTTACAAGGACAGTTGTCTCTCATGATTGAATGAAGCAAGCTGTGGGTCTAATGTAAGACTAGCTTCTCTGCTGGTGACCGTAAATGAGACTGGACGCTTCTTAGCCTTCCCTGCAGAGCATGTGATATACCTGGTATCCGTAATGTTAGATCTATCTACAGCTACTTCTAGTATACATATAGCTCGTCGGAGTCCATGCAGTGATCTTGAAAAACAACTACGAGCTGCATTGGTGGTCCTGATGAGTGTGGGGGTAGAGAGGTTGAGGTGCCCATCCAGAGGTCTAAGAGGTGAAGCCACTGTGGACCTTGACACTGACCCCCAAATCAATGTGTCCCCCTCATGGCCTCTTGGCCTGGGAATGCTTCTGGATGCACACCAACAGAGAGCATCGGGTGAAGTCAGACTGGGAATAATTCTGAGCCTCTTTAGTTGATCTAGACAACTCTTCTTTCGGCCTAGCACATATGTCTGCAGTGACAGCAGAAAGTGACGTAAAGGCTTCTTCTTGGCCTTCTTCCAAGAGTCTGCCAACTTTGCAAATAACAGACACAGAGGTGCCTGGTGCACATTGTATCTTTGCACTTACAGCAGGTGGAACAGGAGTCCCCAGAGATCTTGTATTTACCACATTTCCTGCAGCAGCTGGCATTGGCAATGAAGGGGACGCCACCTCAGCCCCACAAGATGTCACATCCTAACTACTAGCGACTAGTAAATGTTACTGGAAGATACAGATTAACTACAGAGTGACAAACTACCAATACCATGCTGGATGATACTCAGTGAAAAATCAGATGTTGCTGCTAGCACACACAGGAAAGAGCTAAGGATTCCGGCCTTATGCTTTCCCAAGATGCTTGGGGAGCAGGATACTATAACTTGCACAACTGGTTATGGATAGTTGACAGTGACATCTTTGATTTTTCATGAAGTATTCTGAAATTTCTTGAATTCGAACCATGTTTCACAATTAGACCTCTAGTGACCTTGACCTTATACTGGGTCATCAAAAATGAATGTTGTCTTGACCTCACAATAGAGATCATGCATATTGTGTTCATATCAAGTGACTTTGACCTTCAATATCATCTAATTTAACATAGCAATGTTATGGTTTGTGTTAATGCATTAATTTTCAGTTCATCTTCAATGCTATCTTTCATAAAGTAAACTAACATTTCCTGAAATTTGAGCCATGTCCTCAAGTGACCTCGACCTTCTACAGAGGTCACCCAAGAATTGTATGTTTATCATGATCTCACCCTAGAAATCATATTAAGTTACATCAAATTCCAAAAAAAAATACTCTCTGTTTTCTACACATTATGTTTTGACACACAGTTCCTACTGAGTGATCTTCAATGTCATACAATCATACTTAACTTAGGGGTATAAGAAGGCATATCGGGTATGAAGTCTCTACCATCTGCCACAATGGCATGCAGTGGTTGTCAAATTTGAGCAAATACATATGCAGTAACAATTACAGGGTGCTGCTTAATCACCATAATTACTATTTAAAAATTTAAGAAGAGTGTCGATAGATTACCTTAAGTGAGCGCGTAGATGTGAAGTCTTCCCATATACTTTTCCGCATCCAGGCATGTGACATATATGCTGTTTCTTCTTGTTTTCTCCTGTATTTCTAAAGATCAGAAAATATTATTATCAGGATAACTAGTGTTAGTGTAAACGCAGAAACATGTATGTTTCATCCATAAAAAGAACAAAACACACATGAAATAATTTGCATGTGTTTTGCAACCAAATGCTTTTTGTATGCTAATAACAATAGTATTTAGCACATCACAAAATTTCAAGAAATAGATCAAAGTTTACAGGCAATAATTCATCGAAATTTGGAAATCCCATATGCTAGAAATAAATCTTAGCAAGATGGTGCTCATTCAACGTGAATGAATAATTGTAATAATCTGACTGGCCAGCAGGTTCAATCAAGTCATCTTGTTTCTATATATATATATATATATATATATATATATATATATATATATATATATATATTGTTATTATTAACATTCATCTTTGTTTGATTATGTTACAGGTATTAATTTTTACTGTGTGCTTGGTTGTCATAAATCCTGGAATAAGGCTTCATGTAACTTTTGGTATTGTGCATTTATTTCTTATTTATATCTGAATTAGCTGTCAACTAAACATTCTGTTGTGTGTCCTTTGTTGAAGCACCTTAAATATAATGTATATTACCAAAATAGGCCGACCTCCAAGCTGGACTCACTAACAACATGATTTGCCTTTGAGAAAGGCCGACCCCACGATATAATCAGGATACGGCCCAAATAAATACAAAGTCTGCTTGCCTAATCTTATCACTGAAGACAATATACTGTGAATACAAGCAGTGACATTGCCAAGTTCATTAACAGCAGGCGTGACCATGCTCAATCAGCAGATAACATCGCACATTGATATGATTTAAGTTCAAAAGATCATACGAACTTGTGAAACAATACTCATAAGCTTCACATTTATTGTTGATTGACTTATTTGGCATTTCCAGCTATTCATGTTAAGGAAGCGAGAGGTCACATGACAAGCAGGAGAAGTATGTTTGCAAGAAGTTATTTCAAACAAACTTAATCATGACAGTTATATCTATATTCTTTCCTTTTAAAATGCAACTGTTTAACCTGTTGAATTCTTTTAGAATAAGGCGCTGTATAGAGGGTGGACTATTTCAAACAGTCGGTGCCTCATAGAAAAAAAGACCAACTGAAGAAATATTTGGCACATTTATTCCTCATAGAAAACTACACTTTACCACATAAAAATATCCTAATGTTTTCAATCATTCAAAGGTTGAGACCAAAGCGAATACAAAATATGTAAAATTTCTTGAACTTACCTGAATTACGTTATTGAAGGTGGTTTGAGTTTCACGTTAGGAACCTTTTTAAATTGTTAAATTTGTGCAATTGATTTCAACAGCAGCAAGGAGACTCCATTCGCAGACGTTCTACAGAAGCAATGACTATTGGAGATGAGGACGTATATAGTTTGGCAGGGAGATTGGGGTCTGACAATCGTTATTCTGGAGATAGGGTGTGAGAAAACACTGGATGGGTCGCAGATGGAGCTTACCTCGCCTGGTGTTGTCCAACCATCCTAGGGCACTATAAACTGGAGATGTTGAACAGGGATTGTTTCAGACTTTTTGATGAAGTAGACGCTGTGTGAAATTTAGATGCAGATACAGTGTGTCTGGATCTTTGTTGGCCTGAATGCAATCGTCTATTACGATTCACGATTCAAAGACGATTCTTTAAATGTGTAGGAATTTGATGATGGCTTTGGTGAGACAGGTAAATAGTCACGGGGCCAGAGAAATTCCAAACAGGAGCACCTTCCATTGGTAATGGGGTGCCAAGGAAAAGGAACAGAAAAGCATTCACTGTTGTCAGCACCATGCCCAGACATTTTATGGTGTTCTTATGTTAGTAACGTATCTATATAACGCATTATTTGAGTATCGGATGCTGTTTATCTGGATATTTGCAAGGAAGAGGCACACATGTTGTAGGTGGCGTCGCAATGAGGGGCATCTCTGTTAAGAGACCCAATCTTCTGCCGACAGGTGATGGGAACAACAGAACATCTGGGGGTGGAAGAAACCAAAGGTGTAGAAAATCCAAGTCACTTTGATAATGAGTCTCCCTTCTTGGGGAAACTCGCCGCTCATTTTGCATCCAGAAAAGAAGACAAAATGTCCACCTGTTCTTCCCCGGCCTTGAAAGCAGCTGGATCTACTACTGAGCACTTCTAGAAGATCCGATTTGGTGGGATTGGTCACTTACAGCCTTGCCTTTATTCTTCTAATTGATTCCTCTGTAAATGCAACAAATTGTTCTCTTGGATGCATGCCGTGAACAAGGAGGGGATAGACCAAGGCAATCGATAAAGTCAATTTTTGAAGTAGTCATCCCAGGAAGCATGTTGGGAGAACACCACATTGACGTAAAGTTGTGATGGACCCTGCATAATGGGCCAAAAGATCCAGAATCCCAGCCATCTTGACGAGGTTAACCACGCCAAGAAAAATGCAGGCTTCTTCAGGAAAAGAGGCGTGATCCAGTATCGAGTGGAGAACCTCCACCATTGAAACAATGGTAGAGACTAGGGGCAGTGTTCTACGAACCTAAGTATCAAGGTGAAATAAATCATCCACTGAAGAACAGGAGAATGAATGTTTGAATTCCAGCGTTGCAATATCCCCGTCCAGTTCAGGGGCCAGGGTAGAGATGCCATGAGTACCTGTCTCGGTCAACACAAAACGAGGAGACTGAAAGCGATCCTGAAATCGACGGCAAGACCCAAAAGTCGTGTCCACATTAGACACAATCTCGGATAAGACCAGCCTGTGAGAAAGCGTAATACTAGGCGAAGTAGCCGAAGGGACAACGTAGGAGGACAAATGTTCCACTGTTGAAGTACTCTTTGGGAGATGGGAGTTCATCCGCGACCAAGATAGGGACAATTGCCGGATCTGCAGTGTCAAAACTGCTGAAGGAAGAGGCAGGTGAAGTGTGACGACCGAGAAGCTTGTCCTTTCGTACCGGATCGCGAAGCGAGGCAGAGGTTGGTTGATGCGGATCTGGAGTGGGAACCACACTGTTCAGAGGGGAACTAATCTGACGGAAACAAGATGATGTTATAGGTCTTAAAAGAAACTGAAGCTGGTGTGTGGTTACGCAAAGTGGATTGTGAATTGTTATAAATTTTCAAATCCATTCAATGTGAGAACAAATACCATTATAAGTCCAAATTTTTATATCAAACTAAAACTGAAAATATTTATTGAGTACTTATTCAAATACATCATGCAGTTGCCAATATTACATCAGGTAAACATTTGTTATTTTGAAAAAAATATTGTCACACCCATTTCCGCACCCTACCAGGAGGTTGTCAAATACCAATCAACAACATATATCGATGTACTGTGTCGGTGACAAGTGCCATATTAAAAACAAGAGCCCCATAGGGCCTGTATCGCTCACCTGGATATTATGCAATCATGACAAAATATACAAGTGCATTGTACATGTATACATGGTATATAATACTGCAAATATTTCGTAATTTTTACTTGATTTTGACTAATTTTGAAATGGTAGGATGGCAAATCTGACAGCATGAATGTGTATTTCTCTCAATACAAATGTAGCATAATGATCTGAACCATGTTATGATCCAGGATCTAAGTTTCCAGAGGCAAGGCTGGACCCCAGGGCGAATCCTATTGGCATAAATGTATTATTCTCTTCATAACAAACAAATGTATATAATGTATGTTTATTATAGGGTGGGATAATATCGGTTTGCATGTTATGGTCAAGGTTCTAACTTCTTTGTGTGTGTGTGTGTGTGTGTGGGGGGGGGGGGGGGGGGGGGGGGAGGGTGAACCCCACCATTTGTACAATTTTGAATCCCCACCACCTAGGGATGCTTCCAACCAAACATGGTTGATATCTATCTCTTAGCTCAGGAGAAGAAGTCGTTTAAAGCAATATAGCCAAATTGAGACCATGTACTTTCCTAAACTGCAATATGATATATAAACAAGAGTGAATGTGTGAGTGAGAAGTATGTTATTTTCTGTAAAATAAACAACAAAGTAAGATGTACTGATAAGTTGTGCTTTATGTCATGGGCTTTCTGCTACCCTGGGCGGAAGCCCATTTATGTAACAGGTGCGTCTTTCTAAAAACAATAAAAGAAAAGAAAAAAAAATATATATAGCCAAATTACGCCTATTTGGCCCCACCATTTGTACAATTTTGAATCCCCACCACCTTGGGATGCTTCCAACCAAATATGATTGATATCTATCACTTAGGTCCAGAGAAGAAGTTGTTTAAAGGAATATAGCGAAATTACCCCAATTTGTCCCTGCCCCTCAGCCCACCATTTGTACAATTTTGAATCCCCACATACTAGGGATGCTTCCAGTCAAATTGCATTAATTTCCTATAAGTGGTTCAGAAGAAGATGGATGGACAACATGCCACAACATATGCTTACTTGACCTTCAGTCAGGTGAGCTGAGAACTTCTGGACAGGACAGACGAACCTTAGCCAGGATTCATCAATAATGATACAAGCAGCCAGTGATGTCATGCAAGACCGACAGATTGGAATAATAATTGAATGTATTAATCTGTTACGTTATTGGTTCCATTTGATTTCAGTGATCAATTCATTAAATCTTATACATCTGTGCAGAGATAAAAATTGGCACTAATCCATTACCAAACTGTCCAATAGTTAAGGTATCATAAGGAGAAGTAGAAATTTGCCATTTTTAGGGGTTTTGCTGTATGTTATCATTATAAGGACTTTTTGACTAAAATGTTAGTTTCTACCACTGCAGTGATGACTATTAAGTTCCCTTTCTCTGAAATGATAAGTCACACATGAAAATAACTAACCTTCCGTCAGATTGACAATTTGGACATGTGCAAGCAACACGGCGCAGTCTGCGTCCTGGAGTGGGTGTGTCAGAAGCCACTGACTGTGACGAAACTTGTGTTGGACTAAGAGTGCTGATAGGTGTCCCTGGGGAAGTGGCTACAACTTGCCATTTTGTTGGATCATTCGGATCCTGCTGGAAAGGAACTTGTTGTCCGGTAGCTGTGGTTGCTGCAGAAAACGCTCAGTTGTTATAACTGGGAATCATGAGACAAACTTATGAATATCAAAATCAACACACAAAAGCTTGAAGAAGCATACAAATATATATAAATTTCATGCATGTAGAGGTAACCATGCATCAGAAACTTACAATTACATAACCATGTTTCACAAAAATTGAATGCTTCACGTTCTGACTAATCTCAATCTTGACCAAAACCTTTTGAAGATAGGACCCCATCCTAGAGATCATAGATCATAGCACTTCTATAGTGTATGCATGTGTGTCGGCTTGTACTAGTCCAGACAAATTCCAGCAGAGACCAGTCGTTGTTTTATCCCCTTAATGCCCAGCGCCATGGAGGGTAACAACTAGTACCAGCTTTTAACCATGCTAACACCTTTTGGTATGACAGGCTCTCTATCATGCTGGCATTCTACCAACCAGACCATGGGGGCAAATCAAATCCAAGAGAAGGTATATCCCAAGTTTGATGATAAATGCATAAATACCTTGAGGCGAGGTGAAATGGGGTTTTATGTCTCATTTAAGATTATTGCACTTATATAGCAACATGCATGCACCTGTGTGTGTGGCTGTTTGTACTAGTCTGGACTAATGCTGATGTAATCATGTTTATGGTGATGGCCGACTGAGATATCATGCAATCATTTTTTAACATGAATACCCCAGCATATTGACAGCAGACCATTTCTTATTTTATCCTCTCAATGCTAACAAAATACATCTATTAATATCTTTTGGTATGGCACGGCCTGGGTTCAAACCACCCGATCCAACCACTCTATCCACGAGACCATGGATGCAGTCGAATACCTTTTGAGAAAAAAGGCTTGTGACAGGTGGCATACAACACTTGCAGGGGTAGATGACTGCGACGGAGACCGTGAAGTGGACAAACCTGTGGTCATGTAGCCACCTAGCGGGGCTCTAAAACTTTTGAACTCTGAAACCTGAAAAGCCTTTCCCTGCACTCCAAGATTAAATCTTGGCTTCCATTTGCCTCATTTGTTGTTGTACACATTACAAAAAAGCGGCTGGTTATCATTCTACCAAGATGATCAACATATATCTTTCTTTGGGTTAACCACTCACACAACCTCACCCCCCTAAAAATGTTCTCATTGAAATGACACGATTCACGAGCAGTGTTCAATTAAAAAAAATTAAACATACAAGGAGTAGGGTGAAATTCTGTCTACCCAGGCAATCCATCTACTTTACGTTCCAGCAAGCCCTTTGTAATTTTAACTGGCCATGGGCCAACAGTTAATTCAACCCCTGCACTAGACTTCCCAGGGTTAGAAATTCATCTTGTCTTTATTTGCACTTGTCAGTAAAAATGATCAGACAGTTAAAGTATCTTGTTCTTCAAGAATGAAACTAGTCTCATACTAGCACATTTATGATTCCAAGAGTGATATGACTTCATAGCAATGTGCATCATCTGAAGTCTTACTGTTCATATATTTCCTGGTTTGAGACAAAACACAGCAAATGTTGAGAGTGGAAAATTGTACATGGACAGTCTGAACTTTTTATTTCTGATCAGAAAAATATAACCATAACCATGATAACTAAATTTGTTTTTAAAAGATTATCCCTTTTCAGACAGAATGTGTCTGAAGCCATTTATACTGTTACGATACTGTTACGGGTGACAGCACAACTCTCACAAGTTCATATTCCTTGAGCAAATGTTGCAGTCAAAATGCACATCTGGACATCTCTTCTCTTTTAACAAGTATAAAACATTGACATGTTGACTCGGATAAGATGATCTGATCAGCAGTTACTTCAACAACTGATTAGCAGTTACTTCAACAAAGCTAGATGTGTGTAACAAAATTCTTAAACATATTTTCACTTTTCTCAAAATGAACCACCTTTTATCATTACTCCCATACCCAATATAACATGTTGCATACCTGATGTTACACAGGAAGTAGAAACTTTTCTTTGATGAGGTTTTGCACTGAAAAAGCCTTTTAACATGTTACACTCTAAAAAACATGATGTGACCTGACCTATCAACATCAGTCCCATAATACAGAACCAGCATTCTTCATCTCATAAACATTATTAATCTATCAATTAATGTAAATATTTAAAAAAATTCTGTCCAACATTTTATCTTGGAATTCTATCTCAGAAGCTAAATATTCTAAATTGCAGAACTTCCAGCGGCAATTCCGATTTTGAAGCGGTTTTCTGTGCATGCTTCATCAATGCAAGAGGTGCAGTGAAATGGAGTTTAACGTTGCATTCAAAATATTGCAATTATGAACTGATGTGTGCAGACATGTCTGGTTGTATTGGTCAGGACTACTGACAGTTTTATAGTGAAAGCATAATGAGATGCCATGCCACCATTTTTTTACATGAATACCCCACTTAGACTCCAAGCCAATCAGTCATTGCTTTATCCCCTAAATGCCAAGTGCCAGGCAGGGTACACAAAATACCATCTCTAAATGTCTAATGGTATGACGCAGCCAGGGATTAAACCACTGACCTTCCGCTCTCCGGGCAGATCCACTAGACCACGGAGGTGTCTCAGAGCTCCAGATAAGCTTTTGGTGTTGTGGGTATTTTACCCATGCATTTTAAAATCATTGGGTATCAGTAATTCTACCTGCGTATTCAAATTTCTGTTACCCACTAGTTTTTACACGTGGGTATTTAAGTTAAATATTCAAAAACACTATTCATCTGGTCCCTGCAAACTGGTGTTGTGTGGGTTCGAGAGCTTTATAGGACTCAAAAATACCACGATACTTCCACAAGGAAGTGTGATGGCAAATGATCATGATGTAACTGTCATCGTGGAGTTTGGCAAGGTTGACGGAATGCCCCTAATTTCAAAATAAGTTGTTGATTTGCTAATCGAATACGCAGGGTTACTTCACAATATTTTGATGATACGCACAAGTTTTATTTTTGTAGCGTATCTGTAATGTTCGTTGCGTATTTGAAACGCTTGGATTATATTTTACTGTGTATTTCTGCATTTCTGATGCGTATTTCACGCAGATACGCAGCTTATCTGGAGCTCTGCGTCTACATCAATGTATAAAAGTGGTTCGTAACAGGTACTGCACCTATGAAGCATCAGGATTCTTCTCCTAAGAAATGGTTTCATTAGGAACCTTCACGGTTGTGGCTAACCCCATTTGGCAGTGGCGGAAAAGAAAGTTGTTTTGTCAATAACATCTTGGCTAATAAGCATACTTCCCATACAAATGTATAAGCAAAGAATTGTCTAGTGATCGAGAACACCCTTCATAATGTCTGGAACCCCATGTTTATTTGGTTAACTACAGCATTACCTGCTTTCTCATAATTTCTTAATTTTTCCATGTGTTGACGCTTAATTGTTGCAAAAGTACACTTATCCTTGGCTTCATATATTATACACAAACTTTTGTTGTTAAAAACATATAAGTTTTTATTGTGCACCAGGAACACATTTTTAACATGCCACTGCAATCATAACTGTGTCATAGGCACTATAATTCAAAGAATTTCTAACCCTGATGTTAATTGTACAGATATCTCACCAATAATGTGTGTTCCATTTGCTGATTGTGTTGTAGACATCTGTTGACTGCCAATGCCCTGGATAGCCTGTACCTGGGGATTCAACTGTTGCAGGTTGGGGGTTTGAGTTATACCAGTGATTGCCCCAGTAGATGACAGTGTCACTGCACCAAGATTCTGCACAGAAGATCCACTGATGATTTGTCCTTGTGGGGCAACAGCCTGCAGACCTTGCATGTTTTGAAGATTTTGTATTGTCTGGAAACTTTGTATGTTCTGAAGACTTTGAAGATTCTGGACTTGAACAGTCTGTGGATTAGTTGGTCTAACATTAGCTACATTGAGTGCTTGCTGCCAAATATTCTGAGAGATTACTTGACTCTGTCCTGCCAGCTGAAGGTTAGCTACATTAATATTTTGTCCTACACCTTGCATGATCTGTTGTGGGCTTAAAATGTTTGTAACAACATTTGAATTCAGATTTTGGTTACCATTAGAACTTGATGTGGTTGTAGTAGTTGTGGTTGCTGTCCCACCCTGGGGATAACAAGCTACAGCATATGATACTGGGTTTTGGGAAACTGCACCTGGTTGTGAAGCAGGTAGCACTAATTGAGCTGTACCTGTGTTAAGCATATTTGCTCCTAATGGAATTAAAGTTGGTATGCCATTAGGGCCAATAGCTATATTTGCAAAATTACCATTTGCAACTGCCTGATTTGCAATTGCAGTTTGAATATTATTGGCAGTCTGTTGAGCTGCTGATAATTGTTGTTGATTAATTGACGATAATGTTTGTCCAGCTGATATTTTTATTTCATCGACCACCTTTTCAGACTTTGCCTGGACCTCCTCTGATGCAGTTTGAGCAGACACACATGTAGGAGTTGAAACAGAATGTGGCACCTGGGTAGAGGAAGTCATTTGACTCTGTGACAATGCCTGTGCAGCAGTCCCAAAAGATCCTACTGCCCCAGTAGCTGCCACCATACCCTGGGGTAAACCGGTCTGTAATCCAGTTGGGAATGTCTGAAGAGGCAACTGGATAGTTTGAATTGCTGTTTGCCCACCAACTGACACTGGAATTTGAATCATGTTGGGAACTTGTTGTACCTGATTCAGTGGTAGTTGCATTGTCTGCACCACTCCTGGAGCAGCAGCACGCACTGCAGACTGCATACCTGCGGCGGTTGCCAGGTTAAGCACATTACCTCCAAGATTTACAACATTCCCTGTAAGGTTTGGAAACCCCACATTTGATATCACATTGGCACCAGAGAGACCTTGTGCTCTTACAATCTGACCTGTAGGGGTAACCATAGTCTGATTTCCAATCCCTCCAGCAGCAAAAAAAGCTTGCCCTGATGACCCTGCTGGTATAATAATTGCTTCCTGACCATCCACTGAAACTGTTTGGAAGGATGGGATAACATTGTACGTGATACTGCCACCTGGTCCAACCGTTGCCACAACTTGCGGACTTTGTTGAATAAGCTGTCCTGCCGCCGCAAGATTCGCGACAGTCCCAGTCTGTTTTCCTCCATTACTAGCGTTGGCGTCCACGACTGCACCTGTTGGCAGTTGCACCCAACTAGGAGCAACAATTTCCCCTGGCGCTGTAGTTGATTGTCCGGCCCCTAACACGCGCACTGTTTGGGCCCCTCCCTGATTGTAGGCGTCAGCTTCTGGAGGGGCTCCGATCTTACTGCAAGTCGCAGCCAGAAGGGCTAAAGGGGACGGCTGGACATCCTGAAAGGCGGAGCCAGAGAGTGGGTGGTTATCAACATGGCGGTCACATACAACGTAGAACGATAATGGTTAATGCCATTACACGCAGTAATTAAGAAGACTTAAAAGCTACAAAATCGTGACTTACCTGTGATGAACTCGCCGGCACTACATACTCTTGATTTGAATTTCGAACAGTTAATGTGGACATCGTAGTCCCACTGACTCAATATCGACAGTTCACTTTCCCATATCGTGTATATGTATCGACTCGAAGGGGCTGTGAACAATTCGTATTACTACACAGGCACCTGTCTTGATATATATTTTGCAGGACGAAATCAACATGTTGCTGAAGTTGACTGTTATTGTTGCACAACTATGGTTATAAGAGTGAAACAAATGTTACAATGAACATTAATTTGCAGTACATTAACACAGAGAGAAGCGGTACCTTGCGCACTATTTTCAGTCGCGCATACACAAATTATAAACACAATGCGTGAAGCAGCAAGCTTAGTTTGATTGACAGGCCAACCCACAGTAATGCCGTGCCCGTTCGAAAACAGCTCTTGGGTCGTGATACTGGGCAGAGTACAATACACACGAAGGGTTCAAGTTTCAAATATTCTTTGACGAGTTTGGAAGCCCAAGCGATATACATGTATAACTATGAGTAATGCTAAATTGCGTTCACGGTGTATGTACGTAGATCTATGGAGACCCTATGTATGTAGGGTATATATATATGCGGTCTAATTGTCAACACTAGCATCATGTACTTACAGCGCAAACAACATGTGACAGACCAAACTGAGAAAACGTTGAATGTGGAAATACCGCAAATGTTTGGAATGACGTCTTTATATTGAAAGCCGTAGATTATTTTGAAATCATTTCTTCATGCACTAAGAAACAGCACTTAGTCTTGATAGAGCAACGGAAATAAATGTTTGTCCGTAGATCTACTTCCTCATCATGTGGATATTATTGTTGTGGTCGACTCAACCATCGTGGGGTTGTCATCTGCTAAAAATAGATGTGACGCTTATTGATTACCCGTTAAGAGGCAGGCGCTAGGGGCGGTAGGGGAGTTTCAGAGAGTCCCGAATAAGCATCAATCAGTGTAACCAATGCGTTTGCCGTCAAAGGGAAGTAACTGCTTTAGGTATATAGTCGATTTCTCACGTTATCTGTGTGGAACAGGGCATGCCTTAATTCATGCTCGTGGTTATATATTATGTATAATCCGTAATTACGAGTAGATTATTCTTTTTATTACCCACGGCTTTTTTCTGAGAAAATGTAAAAAATGCGGTATTCTTTTTGAACTTCATATTTCATTGTTTGTGACGTCACGAACAACGAATGACTTCATCCACAAATATATTAAGGGGTCCAAGCCAATCTCTCCAAACAATTATGACCATCTGAACTAATGTGATGCCCAAACAATCCAATTGTTTCAAGGCTCTAGGCTCAATCACTAAGGGCAGATCAAGCAAAGTTAATTCACTAAACCGAATTTTAGCAGCAGCTATATCATAAACCAATAGTCCGGTGGCTTCCAAGTTTAGTATGTCACAGCAGCATCATTTGCCCATCAATTTAGCTTCGACTTCCCACTTCCCTTGGCCATGGATTTTACCATTTCTCTTAGTACTTGTCTGCCAAAATCTGCTCCTCTGTGCGTCAGATATCCCATATCCGGACGAAGACAGAACTACAAATTATTTCGGCCGTAGAACCACGGCTAACGGATACAGCCTGATAAAGAGGAACTAGACAAAACTACTTAAAATGTGTCCTTGTGTCTAAAACTTGTTCTAATGTGTTTCTGCGACCCGCTCATGTATCAAACACGGGTTCTGGGTCTGAAATACGCCGTCTCTTAACCACCTGTAATTCAGAAAACAGAGGTCCGATTTTGGCCAAAATGTTTATGTGTATGTAGACTATGCTTGTTGATTATCCTCATAAATTGCACACCCTTCGCTCTGAGTGAGTGAGTATGGTTTTACGTCACTTTCATAAATATTCCAGTTATATCACGGCGAGGGACACGGGGAACTAGGCTTCACACATTGTACTCATGTGTTGAATCGAACGAAGGGAACTTAGTCAAACCCTGGTCTTTGGCGTGACGAGCGACAGCTTTCAACATAAGGCTATACCCACCGGAGGGAGCACGGGTGGCCCAGTCGTCTAAGGCGCCGCGATTCTATGTGCAGAGTTGCGCCCCTTGGGCACACAAGAAACCTATGATTGTGAGTTCGAATCCCGGTTCGCCCCGATTATGTTTCTAGATTTGCCAGCACCATACCCGTGATCGTGGGTTTCACCGAAGTGGTAAACGTCTGAGACATGCATCACTTCGGGGTTTCCTCCCTCATTAAGCTGGGACGTCGTGATATAACTTGAATAATGTTAAAAGCGACGTTAAACCAAATTCACTCACCCACCGCCCTCCCGTAGCTCTGAAGACTAAGGGGAAGCAAATAAAACATAAGTCATGTAATACAACATCCTATAATTACAAAGCGTATTTGGTATATCCTGTTTTCCGCGATTGTGATTGTCAGACGTAGAATCAAAATTGAACGTAATTTTTTCGATAACTGCAGAAAAGACATGCAATCCAGAATAACTCAAAAACTCCCGAATGTATTAAGAAGGCATCAATATTGGTACCATATTTTGAAATAGTATTCAATGCACTTCTCGATAGTGGTGTTTTCCCAGACACTTGGATGGGACTCAACCCCTAAAAGTACTAGACCCGCGAAGATCCGGGGTAGAATAGGTCTTCAGCAACCGATGCTTGCCATAAAAGCGACAACGCTTGTCGTAAGAGGCGACTAACGGGATCGGGCGGTCAGGCTTGCTGATTTGGTTGATGCATGGCATTGTATCCCAATTGCCAATATTTGTACAAGTATCACTTGTCCCTAACTTGTATTTTCATGATTCAAATAAAATTGTTTTCTATCAAAGAAATCTATGGAGGGCAACTCCATGCTGTTATATGTGCTGTTATAACAATCCACGGATTTCTGCGTAAAAAAGAATTTGATTGATGTATGGCCCTATTTTAGGAGTTTTTATTGGATTCCCAGGCCAAGTTATCAAAACAACACCGCTCATTAGCGTTGAGTAGATTACTTCCTAAAATACAATAGTGTTTTCCTAAAAACAACACTTAGGTTATATCAATGTTTATTCTGTTTGCGGAGTAGATGTCATCAACATGGAAGTCCTCACCCAAGCAATTTTTATTCTACCGGATGTCCATTGTGTAATTTCTAGTTTTTGGATGACATTTGTTCTCAGTAACCATAATGTGGAAATAGATAGTTGATTGGTTTTATATTAAACTTGGTATTTCCGCTATTCAAAGTGTGCAGTGAAGCCGTCTTATCAACAGTCATTTCTGAGACATAAATGCAAAGTTTAATTAATTAAGTCTACTATCTTGTTTTGCCTTTATAATTAACTCTAACGTTAATTTCAAGATTTACAGTACATACTATTCAAAAGAAGTTAAAGAACACCCGATTCTTTCATAAGACTGTTTAGTCATTAGAGAAAGCGATGGTGCGAGAAAGCGATATTTCCCATAATGCTGTACATTAAAACGGTTTTTGCTGATATTTAGTGATCCATTCCTGTAATATTCACTATATATGCTATATATACGTTTATAAACAGCACACATGGGGCCTCAAATGCAAATATACTTTCACTTGTTAACAAATAGTATCGAATTTTAAACGTGTTCATTAAAGTAACTTTATGGAGGAATGTCTTATCCATTGTGTCCAGATATGTATAGAAGTATACTTCTAAATACATACAAACAACATAGTAAGACCATTTTAATATTCAAACCCTGTGAGGATTCCAAAGTGGCCTTTGCTTGTCGTGCATGGTTGGGGTGGTCATGGTTGGTGAACTGGTTGATTGTATGCCATCGTACCCTGACGGTGTCGATCGTTGCGTACAGTATCAATTACTGGTTTGTCTGGTCAAGTCTCGATTATGTATTCAAGTAAAGATTTGTAGCTGTAACAAAATTATATGCTGCATACAGCAGCTTTGATATAGTTGGTATTTAACTGAAGACATTGGATTGGAAAAATGTAGTCCCTATCTGGTTTCATAAGCCAAAATTTATGTACGTCACTCATTAAGGTTGTTCCAAAGTAATTTTTATTACCTTAATTTCCAATTAATACTTTCTGTATGTGCTTAATGCTGATTTTTATACGACAGTGTCATTTTAGTGTACTGTATGTTAGAGCGAGAGGTTTCTTCTACAAATTTTGAAATAATTCGTTTGAATATCTTGATTAAATATGTTGGGGGAATGATTTTATTGTAAATATAATTTAACGAACAAGGGTTTGCCGCCGTGTTGATGCATAGCATCAAAAGTTTTCTTGCATATAAACTGACGGCCAAAAGAAACTTTAACATATACACAAAGAAAAAAAGTTAAGCACACCCTAATATATTTCATTATGTTTTCTCGAGATGATGTAATAAGTCAAGCTCACGTGCCATGCATGGTATGCCCGTGCAGCATGCTACCCTCGAGTATCTCTAAAAGGAGTATATCCAAACGTTAAAATTGCTTTCTTAAGCTCGGTTTTAAATAGTTATTCCATGACATTGTGTGACCATGGAACGAAGGCGATTATCAAACGCCACGAGATGGCAAATAATCGGCATGCATAACGCAGGAATGTCTTGAAATGCCATTGGTCGGAATTTGGGGTATCACCACACTGTCATAAGCCGTTTAGTCGAGAAACATGCTCAAACCGGTGATGTATTGGACCGTCCCAGATCCGGAAGACCTCCTCTGACGACACATCGCGAAGACAGGGACCCTCTTCGTTTCAGCACCAGAACCGTCAGGAACCGGTTGAAAGCAGCAGGGCTGAGTGCTAGACGAGTCATAAAGCGTCCCTTGTTGAGAGATCACCACAAAGCTGGGGTGTATCTCTCATGATGTTGGAAGTTGGATTTGGTCACCGAAAGGGGCAACATAACAGGGGCTCAGTACATACGGGACGTTTTGAGGTCAGTCGTAGTTCTTCATTTTGACAACCACCCTCTTGCTACTCGACCTCAGTACATGGATGGCAATGCCAGGCCTCATCGTTCGCATGCAGTCGTGGATTCCATGAGGGCCAATGCAACAACGACTCTACCCTGGCCAGCAATGAGCCCAGATTTGACCCCTCTTGAACATGTTTGGGATACTCTGGGGCGGCGCAT